TAGACTTTCAGAAGTAAATATCTCTCACTGCAAGATATGCTTACCCATTCTATTATTACTGCTACCCAAACATGTTAAGGAAGACGTGAATGCTAAATACCTATACCTTGTGAAATCTTACTAGACTTTGAAGCAATAGTAACAGTTAAAATCTAGTCTAATGCATATAGTAACAGTTACATTTGCTTCAGATGATTGCAAAATATGAACATTCTGAAAGTATGTTGATGCAGTCTTCCTTTTGTTTTTTTAGCTTTTTGAAGTTCCTATTCCTAAGGCAACTAAAGGTGAACTTCTATTAAAATTGTAGGCAACTAGCCTAAATCCATTCGATTGGAAGATACAGGGAATTCAAATATCATAAATTCTTTGAACATCAGGTTGAATTGACTTCAATGTTGTTTATGCTTGAATTCAATTGTTTTAATCTTATATTCTTATTTTTGTCTGATATTGAAGCCTGCTACAAGTGATTTTATTGTAAGGGGTACTGGAAATTGCAGCCCTAGGTACATGAGGTGCACCATTAATCAGGTGATACATGTTGTCTTAATCTCTTTCATTTTCATCTACTTTTCTTGTGAAATGTCTTAATGTAAGATTGATTTTGTTGTTGTTTGTTTAGATTCCTTGCACTTCAGATCTCTTAAACACATCTGGCATGCAATTGGCTTTATTGGTTCGGCCATTTGATTTATATGTATTAATTAATTAATACATATAAATTAAAATCATCACGTCTTCATTTGATTTCTATACATCAAAAAACAGTATTCACAACTTATAAATCATGAGCCAAAACACCTAAATCAACTAACAATTAAAATTCTCAGTTTTAGACCCAAAACAGCCACTGTTTAAAGCTGTTTTAGCACACTTGAAACCTATATAACTTCCGTTTTTATTTCATATTCCAGAAGTTCAGACTTTTATATTTTCAGAATGTACTTTTGAAGGTGCAAACGATTTTTCTATAATTTTATATGATTTTTACAAAACTGTCTATCAGTGCAGCTCAATTCCGATCAACTGGTGAAAAATGTGATTTTCACATAAGTTAGAAGCAACAAAAGGTTATGGAAAAATTAATGCATAAGCTAGATTCATAATGGAAACTTTGAAAGTTGACGGATCATTAATTCGATTCCTAGTGATTTTTATATAATTTTTCCAATACAGGAACATATTTGTAATTTTTGCTGAATTTTCCAGCTTTGGATTTCAAAGGCTTTTTGACCACTTAACACATTAAGCCATCACTGAGAACACCCATCAGGGTAAAAATTAGCCTCTTAACAGACGTGACATGTCAAACAATAAAAATATCAATCCCACTCACAACCCACTCATCAAGGTACAAAATATTTGGTGGAAAACAAAGTAGGTTGCACAAATAGGAACTTGGATTTCTTCCACCACCAATTCTCATAGGACTTTGAAAGATTGTTTTGAGGATTATTGGGCGACTCAAAACATGGTTTAATCTAAACAAACAACAACAAAATCATGAGCACTCTTGTATTTATTTCTTTTCTTTTTGTCTCTATTGTTGTTTGTGAGTATACAGAAAGCAATTTTTCTGACTCCTTGGACATGCTTGAGGATAAAAGTTTAAAAATAGAAGATGATTCTGACTTGTCATCATGGTCAGGTGATGAAAGTGGTGTCAGGGTTCTTATGAATGTTGATAGCTTTGGTGTTGTTGGAGATGGAGTTTCTGATGACACAAAGGTGAATATACATATATAGTCTTTCTTGAGTGTATTGATGGAGTCATTAAGGGGATTCTTTTTATTTTCATGTATGTTACATAACAGACCTTTGGAGATGCATGGAAGGAAGCATGTTTTCTAGTTGGTCGGGTAGCGTCTAAGGATCAATCATGATTTTTACAACCCTGATTTTTTTAGTGATTCTCAATGAACTTTGTAAAATTTAACGTATTATAATATTAAAATTAAACGATTGAACGAAAAATAATATAAGGATAAACTAAAAGTGCTATTATATATATCCCTCACTCTAATAAATTATGAAATCCTAAAGATACATGTACACTTTACTCACAAGGAGATACATAAAACAATTTAAGATACTTTAATATACGATATATAATTCCCCTAAATTAACTATATGTTGTCATATGCAAGGTTGTCAAGATCGGGATCCTACGTAGGATCGTTTTTGGGTTTGCAAGATCGGGATCGGGATCCTAAAATCCCACAAAATAAAACATAATTTTAATTTATAATTTTTAAACATGAAAAATATTTCAAACATTTAATTTTTCGTTCAAAAGTTATAAAAACTTCAAAATATTAGTCATAAGTCACAACACAAAATTATAAATGGTAAAGGGTAAATGACATAAAGTGGTAAAAATAATCTTCATTTGCAAAAAAAAAAAAAAAAAAAAAAAAAAAAAAGTTAAAGACGGTAGGATCGGATCGGATCTTGATCCTACGATCATACCTACGATCTTACGATCCTACCTGTGATCCTACCACAAATACGATCCTTTTACGATCCAGATCGTTTTTCATACCTAGGATCGTAGGATCGTACGATCCTACGATCAGGATCGCGATTTTGACAACCATGGTCATATGCATTGAAATTTTTTTATATTTTAACTTATTTTTGTAAGAAAAACATCACAAATACTTACTTTTGTCATTTTCTCTTTATTATTATAATTAGTTAAAGCAGGCTTACTTTGTATTGCTCGACATACTATGCTTCGGTTTGCAGAGTTTTCGAAGAAATTAAGGTGCCATTTCGATCAAAACCAACTCCATGCATCTATATATGTGTATGTATGTATATCTACGTTCTCCCCTTCTCTCTCTCTCTCTCTCTCTCTCTCTCTCTCTCTCTCTCTCTAGAACACACACTTGTCGTGCATAAACTAGCAGTTATTCATACAACACAACATGTAGATAGAGAAAGAGATGAAGTTGAACACTTTACACAAAGAAAAAGACTTTCACTGAGAAATCTACACAAAAACGTAGTTTAAGTCTCTCTCTGTGTGTGTGTGTGTGTGAGAGAGAGAGAAGTTGCAGAGAGGAAAGATATGTCCTCTCAAGCAGGATCAATAATAACCAGATGTTTCTTTCTCTGTCTTGTCCTCTCTTTATCCTGTGTCGTGTTTCTCTCTCTAAAATCCACCATCTTTCTCAAGAAACCCATTTCCGGCGGCAACGTTCACGGTGGCTCCACCCTCAAGATCCGACCCAGATACACCTCCTACGACAATTACATTCACCACCAACTTCAGAAAACCACCAACCCGAAGCTCCGAGAAATATGGACCACCCGAGATTGGGACCGAAAAATTCGTGTTTTCACACAATTTTTTTCGGATCTAAAGCACAAAAACCTGTTATCCAATTCATCCAAAGCTCTCTGTGTCGGAGCTAGGGTCGGGCAAGAGGTGGAGGCTTTGAAACGCGTCGGAGTGTGGGACTCTATCGGGTTGGATCTGGTACCATACCCGCCTCTTGTTATCCAAGGTGACTTTCATCGTCAGCCTTTCGATGACGAGACTTTTGACTTTGAGTTTCCGAATGTGTTTGACCATGCATTGTACCCGGATAAGTTTGTAGGGGAGATCCAACGGACGTTGAAGCTTGGTGGGATCTGTGTGTGTGTGTTACATGTGGCGTTATCCAGACGGTCGGATAAGTACTCTGCTAATGATTTATATAGTGTTGAACCGTTGATTAAGTTGTTTAATGGGTCGGATTTTCTTTACTCCAGGAAAGTTAATGGGTTCGGGTTGGATACTGAAGTGGTTTTTAGGAGAACGAACGCAATCGTAATCCAACGGTCAAGATTTTAGTTCCTTTTGACATTTTTTTTATAAATTTTTTATCTACAAATATTCAGTTGTATACTGTAGAAGCTATAAAAGTATAAAACTATAAATCATAGAATTATAGGTGGCATAAGGTGTTTAGGTGAATTGAGTTATAGAATTTTTTTCAATTTGCATCATTACTTGTTTAAAATCGTTTATTGTTTGTTAAAGGATTAAACCCTAACAAGAAAAGGCAAACAAGATACCCCATGCTACCCAAACATATCATCCACAAATAGACAGATTCGACCAAGAAGGCAAAAGGTACAATATAAGTTATAAAAAACTTGAATCAAAGTTCCGGCATCATTCTACAAATGCTAAATTGCACAAACCAAACTGCAATCACTGCTAAAAACAGAGCAAATATCATCATCATCATCACTCTTTCTTCCTGGAATCCTTAAGTTGTCCCCTTTTACGGATTTTGAGACAGAAATTATAACGCCAAGTATCAACAGCAACCTCAGGCAACGAGTAAAGCAATGCCCAGATGACAGAGTGTGGCCAGTAGGGAGTGCATCGAGGCTCGTTCCCTAACCACCTTAACCCTGCCTTTGCATATCCACTTGCTGATGGCACAAAGAACGAAGATCTCTTGATCGATGCCATCTTTGTTGCCACATACAATGGGACCTGTGTTTAAACAGTATTCTATCAATCTATCATGTCGTTTTATTCATACAGAAACAGATCTAAACAACTCAGAATTCAAATTTTATGAAGCAAAACGAGTGTAAATATTTACCTGACACTGCACATCTATGCCACTGTTCTTGTATTCCACATAAAGACACCTGGAAAACTGATCGACATACCTAAACAAATGAAGAAAAACATCAATTAGCACGAATTAAGACCCCATATTGAAAACAAAACTTGGAAAAAAAAAAATGAAAACTTACGCTTTAGTAGCGGCATAAACAGCATAAAGAGGATCAGATGGAATCACAATAGCAGCACCAGAACCGATATTCACAATTGCGCCCCTTTTTCTCTTCACCATACCAGGTAACACAGCTTGTGTCACTTTTGTAGTCGCCTCAACATTGACTTTAATCAAATTATTCAATAATTCATCATCAACTTCATGGAAGAACCTAGCGTAAGGGTATGACACCCCAGCATTATTGATCAATATACCAACATCTAACCCTTCGATTGCTTCGTTAATCTTCTTGATTCCTTCGGATAAATCACCAGAGAGATCGAAAACAACTTCTTTGATTTGGGTTTTGTCGAACTTCGATTTAATCTCAGATGAAACACCCTCTAGTTTACTAGGGTTTCGACCCACTAAGATCAAGTTAATACCCTTTTTAGCTAATTCGAAGGCAAAAGCTTTGCCAATGCCATCTGTGGAGCCAGTAACAAGTGCCCATGATCCGTATTTCTTGAGATTTTTCGAAGGTCTAAAGAAATTAACATAAACCCATCTGAGGATTGAAGTCGAAGTCTTGAGGACAGATACAAAACCTAACACAAACACGAAATTTAACCATAAAGGCTGTGTTTTTAGGGTCTCCAAGAACTCGAGCACCATTTTGTTGGAGTTTGATTTGGAAATTGGGGGAAAAGATTGGATCTAAAAGATGGGTTTTGTAATCAGAGATATTAAATACGTCATAAAGTAGTAGGGGTTGTGGGGTTTGTTGGAACCATAAAATCCTTGGCAAGGGCGGAGTTTTCAAGCAAAACATGGATAACAAGAATCACATGGTAAGTTTTGAGGGATAATTTCGTAAAAGGGGTTTTTGACAGGGAAATTAACTAATTTAATGGTAAATTACACGAATGGTCCCTATGGTTTAGGGTAACTTACGTGTTTGATCCATAACTTATTTTTCTAACTCGGAAGGTCTCTACTATTTGTTTTTGTTACACGCTTGGTCCCTGTCTTACATAAAAAACTTATTTTTCCCTTGATTTTTTAATTTATTTAAATAAACACACCCCCAACCCCACCCCTTACCTTACCTTACCTACCCTACCGTTTTTTTCTGTTTAAATAATTATCTTTCTACATAAGATAGGGACCAAATGCGCAACAAAAACAAACAATAGGGACCAAACGTGTAATAATAACAAACAGTAGGGACCTTCCGAGTTAAAAAATTAAGTTAGGGACCAAACGTACAAATTACCCCAAACCATAGGGACCATTCATGTAATTTACTCTAATTTAATCTGTATGAATGAATATTTTAATAATAATAATTTTTTTGACAGGGAATTTTTTTTTTATAATTTGCGTAAAAGGGGTTTTTGATCCTTGTATTTTCTGGACTGAGAAGTGTATTTCGGAATGTACAACCATTGCTAAGTGGTTAAAAATAAGCTATTTGTGTTCTTTGTTCATTCACATGCTACATGCATTATATTTATGTCTTTGTTCCCTAATTCGTCCACAAGCAGTGTTCTTTAATAATTTTCGTAATATAAAAGAATAGTATGTATATGGATTTTTTTGAGTGCCAATAACTAGTAGAGGACAATAGCAGCGTATCGATGGATCTATATAATATATTTTTCCATGCTACACATGCTTGGTGTGGATATAAGTATTGATATCAACTTCATTGGGTTAATCGCGTTGGTTGCTTTAAAGTCCAGTTTACACTCTAATCAAATACGTCTATCCTTTTAATGTCCTGGATCAAATATAGTGATGCGGATTCTTGACGATAGTGATGTCAGATATTTTCTAATTTTTGTTAGTAGTATGCCTCCTAACACAGTATAAATTATTTGTTGTTAATAATGTTGGAAAGTGGTATTCAACGCTTTCTCGGGGAAAATCGTTATGGTGGCAATGAGTCTTTCGGTCTGGAAGTAACTAAATGTGTAATTTATTATCTATGACAATCAATCATGTTCCTTTTTACAATGGCTTTATAGATGAGGGTGATTTTAGGTATAAAGGTAAGACTTTTTGATGATGCTTCTCCACCGGTTGATGTTGATGCATTTGCAAATAATGAGGCAAAACTAATGTTGTTGGTCAATGATTGTAATATAATTCCACAAGGAGAGTCGGTTAAACATTTTCAGAGTTTCATTTAATTTGATAGGGGTGATACTGAACTTGAAGAGGAGGAAACTGGGCCCCAAAACCCCGAAAATCATTGAATTTATTTATTGTGTGTCTATATATATATATATATATATATATGTATGTTAACGTTATGTTATTTTCTCATAGTAAGTTATCAGTTGTAAGGTAAAGTAAGATACATACATTTCTAACATCAAGAATCCGTACACAATCAACAACGTGTAAACGCCTCATCCGAGGGTATGCAACTGTCCGGGGGATAACACCCGGTATAGAAGAACCAATTATACTACTGTTGGGAAAAGTCTTAATGATCCAAATCTACAAAATTAAGATGTCAAACAACCAACCAACATAATAATGTTACAATACTTGTTGCTTAAAAACTATTATGAAACATAGTGGATATACCTTAAATGCATAGACAAATTCATGCACAATA